GTAAAATAAAATAAATATATAAGTATGTTAAGATGTACAAAAATATTAAAAAAAAAATTATTCCTCATTATTATCATCTCTTGTATCATCTTATGGTTCTTTGGGTGTTAAAAGGAATGGCTAAGGCATAACTAGTGTGGGGAGAGCTAAGGAAACCGTAGTGGGGATATCCAAAGAAGGAGGCACTATTGGTGGGGGCATAACTAGCGAGGGCACCATTAGAAGGGATGCAAATGTGTCGGCACCATTATCAAGTCCACGGCCTTAGATATACTAGTAGCGCCACATTCACATACACTACCACTATCGGTCGTATGGTCAACATCGAGCTATGGTCACCGACACCACGACAAGATTTGCCTAATCTATGTGGCATAACTCAAGATTAACACTTGAAATATTTTAAAGATGAATAAAAATTCAACTGAAAATGTATTATAATTTTCCCAAACATCTAGCAAAATTTTAACAAAGTCTCTCCTGTGAATTATACATTTCCCAATTAACATATACTCTAAATTATCGGAAAAATATTATAATTAAATCAACCAACAATCAATATAAGCACTTTGACATGAGTAATTGTGTTGGATATTCTATTAAAATTAAATCTCAAACTCGTCCTTATAGCTCCATCACACGAGTATTGAATCAATTTTATTTTTCCTTCATTCCCGGAGGTCCCCTCGTGTTCGATACATTACAACGTATCTCAATACACTACAATAATTATAAACAAACTAATTAAACTAATTCATTCTAACGCTAACCTAATTAAGTTTAAAATAACAATAAATTAACAAGTTTTAATATAAATAAAGTTATAATTCAACCGATTACAAAACTTAACAAAATGAAATTATTAATTATTAACCAAATTAACTTAATTAATTCTAAATCTAACAAATTAAATTTAAAACAACAATAAATTAAAAAATTTTAATTTAAATAAAGTTATAATTTAACCAATTAAACAAAATTAACCTAATCAACTAATTAATTATAAATTAAATTAACTTAAATAATTCTAATTCTAAGCAAATTAAATTTATAATAACAATTAATTGACAATTTCAAATATAAATAAAATTTTAATTCAACCAATAAAAAAATTAACCTAATTAATTAATTAAATATAAATCAAATTGTCTTAATTAATTCTAATTCTAACCAAATTAAATTTAAAATAAAAATTAAATGAAAATAATTAAGAAAAATTAACAATTAATTAACAAATTTATTCTAATTCAATTAATTAAACAAAATTAACCTAATTAATTAACCAAACATAAATAAAATTAACTTAATTAATTAAAAATCAATCCTAATTAAATTTAAATTACAATTAATTAACAAATTTACCTAAAAATTATTATAATTTAATAATTTAACAAATTAATAAATAAATTAACCTAAAAATAAACAACATTAACAATTTAACTAATAAATCAATGAAATAACAAGTAAATATATAAGAAATTATAAATCAAGAAATTAAACTTAAAATTAACTTAATAATTATAAAAAATTATTGACTTTCATTAAGAAAATAAAAAGGGAAAAACTTACAAATCTAGTGGAATTACACTAACATAAGGGAAGAAAAAACATGGGTTTTTTGTAGGAGAAAAGAGCTTGGATTGGGGAAGGATTGATTGAGAAAGGAAAAGTGGAGTTTGGTGGTGGTTTGGAAGGAGGGGAGACCGATGGTTGCGAGCTAGAGAAGGAAAGGTAAAAGAAAATGAGGGAGGAGGAAGAAGAAAAGGGATAGCAAAATAGTTTCGGGTGCGATCCTTTAGCGGTGCCGTCCCTAATTAATGATGGATACTTACGTACATCGTTAATCCTTTTCAAAATGGATGACCATTTTTTTATACATAGCAATGAACATAAGTGTTTGTCTCTAATCCATCCCTAATTTGGTTGTTTGACTTTCATAAAGTCTACCAAAGTTTTCACCTTTAATGATGCACGTTCCCATCATTAATTTGTGAGGGATGCTTGTTTTAGCAATTGATATTCAATTGCTAAATCCAAATATTAAAAATAGCGATGGATAAGCAATTTCGTCGCTATTTTTTTTAGCCAATTCATAGTTAAACTATCTCTACAACTCATGGAAAGATTTTGCCGCCAATTGAGCAATAAACCGTCACTAATCCATCTTTATTTCATTATTGGTTCCAACAAATGCTATTCCGTTGTTATTTTCTTTCGTTTAGTGAAGGACGTTGATCTGTCACTTTTTGATGGTTTTTTTTTCTTTTAGTATAGAATCAACATGGAAATTAAAATAAAATACTGTTAAAAAATCACTTCAATAAAAAAAATAATGAAAATGGAATACTATCAAAGAACCATAGATCTAGTGAGCAATCGAAATTAAAATGGAATATTTTCGAAGAATCATAGACACTATGTAATTAAAAAACAACCATGACATAAATAGTTCTATGATGGGAATTATTCAAGCAAGATTGATATGGAACTCTTTAAAAAAATTGATATCTATTTGTTTTATTTTTTATTTTTCTTGATTTTCTATATTTTTAATATTTAAAAAATAAACAAATATCCTTTTGATTTTGAAAAATTTTGAGATTTGTTCTAAAAAAATGAAGTGCGGTTTTTCAACATATGTGCAAAACTTCAGCTCAAAACACCAAAAATTGAATTTGTTTAGACATGAGGATGATAGTTGAAAATTGTTATATTGACTAAATTTAAAAAAAAAAATTAAAAATTTAGGGATGACAAAAACTAATTTTGAAGTTCAGAGATTCAATTTTAATTGAGTTAAAATTCAAGAAAAGATTGACCCATTTAGCCCTCATTCAATTGAGATTCGTATTCCTTTATCTTCAGCATGCAACTTATTTAGTATAAAAGGATTAAGTTTAAATACATTAAAAAATACTTTTTGATTAAGCGTAGTGAATTGAAAGACAATTTTTTCCTTTTTTTTTGGATTTGATGAGTTTAGTTGGATTTCTATATTATTTTCGAAACAAATTAGGATCCAACAGTCTAGCATGATGATTATAATAAAAATAAATAAATGAAAGTTTAATTTGTGATTTTTCAGTGTCATTTCTGTATCTAATAACCTCTTTAGAGACAAGTTATAGTTTATATTAAACTTTTTTTTCCTGTTTTAAACTTTGGCCATGTTGCATGTGCATAAAATCAGAACAGATTCGCAATATAGTTTTAAATATCGATCACGTTTGCAATAACGATAACGGATTGCGATAACAAATGTAGATTTTAATAATTAAATATAATGATAACGGCTATCATTATTTTAAATTATTTAACAATTCATAACCAGTTTTCATAATATGTGTTAATTTGAAGCTTTATTAAATAAACATACAACTTTTTTTAGTTATATATATACACCATTATAATTCAATAATAATTGTACTACTAAAAAAGTTAAATTTTAATTTAACCAAAGTTTCAAATTATGATTAATAAAATGTTATAATAAAATTGTAATTTAGTTATTGGTTACTGGAGTAGAAGAAAAATTAACTCATATATATATATATATATATATTGCAATAAAAGAAAAATAAAACATTATTAACTTTTTTAAACTATACAAAATAAAAGAACGTAAAAAAAAAAAAAGTCAAAAACTAGGCCCGATTATATCACTTAAAAAATATAAAAAAAGGTAAGTGCAATTAAAATTTTATAAGAAAAGTAGGTCCAATAGACCATTTAAAAATATGGATCCATCCTAAAATATTAGTCTTCTAGGAATAAGTCCAATATCAATATGTCTAAACCTAAATCTAGTTTGTTTAGAACTCTGCCTCCCTCTCTAGTCTCTTCTTCCTTCTTATACACATCCTTTTATTTTCTATACCCAAATAATTACAACGCATTAAGTTTGTGATTTCATGGTATAATATTTTTTTTATTAATTTTTATGAAAATTTTAAGAAGATATATATTTTCTTTTTTTTGGAAAAGCAACAATATAAGTTTTCTTGTACAAACCAATCAATTATACATTTTTAGTTTATTTTAATAATATATTTTTAAATTATTAATTAATTTTTTTAATGCACCAAACTGATATGATAGGTGAATACTAAGATCGTTTGAAAAAAAAAACTTAATTTTAATTATTAATCAACCAATTTGATTAGTATAATTTTTTTCTATTAAGCAAATAATTATTACATATTGCAATATTGCAGCTAATAATATATTCTTTAAACGGAGCGAGTATGAGTTTTCATATACAATCCAATCAATCATACAATTTTGATTTATTTAATAATATATTTGTAAAATATTAATTAAGTTTTTCTTTTTAAATGTACTGATGAGATGTATACTAAAATCATTTGGAGAAAAAATAGTTTTGATCGATTAATAAACTGGTTTGATTACAAGAATTTAAAAATATATTAATTAAAATAAACTAAAAATGTATAATTGATCCCTTTGTACATGAAAACTTATATTCTTTCTTTTCCAAAAAGAAAAAAAATATATTTTTTAACTTTTCATACAAATTAAAAAAAAATTATCAATATTATTGCATGTCATTGCAACGAATACTTGTTATTTATAAGAATATAATTTTCATCATTTTTTTTTCTCAAATAAAATAAGTTGAAACTAAACCCATAATTAACTATAAATGAGAAGTGATGTTGCTTTCATTACCAGATTAGCACTCTTGTACAGGCTCCATGAACTTTCAGGAACATAATAACGATCAAGACACAGGGTCTTTTTACTCTTACAAACCAACTTTTCTTGTCAGTATGTAACAGCTGTTCAATCTTACAGCAAAGCCATGACCTCACTCTTATTCTTGTCCTTCACGAATATGATTAACAAAATGGCAATGTCAAATCCAGACTCATCTATACCCAGAGATAGTGCAAATAAAAAGGAAATGAAAATCCCTATTTTTGCACCCTATCTCGCATTTATAAAGTCATTGAGAGGAAAAAAGAGAACCCAATTTCAAAATGACTAAAGCTGAGTTAGTCTTCATTCCTTTTCCAGGTATAGGCCATCTGGTATCAACAGTAGACGTAGCTAAGCTTCTTGTAGACCGTGATGAGAGGCTTTCAATCACCTTCCTCATCATGAAGGCAGGTGTTGATTCCAAAGTCGATCGCTTCATTGATTCAGTAAGTGCAGCTTGCAAATGTATACGGTTCATTGACTTGCCTAAAGATGAGCATGATCCAAACCAGCCCATTCTTCTTTCATTTATTGAATCCCAGAAACCCCATGTAAAAGAAGAAGTGTCTAAGCTTGTGAGTCACTCCGAATTAAGCCATGACTCGCCTAGACTTGCTGGGATTGTTGTTGATATGTTTTGTACATCAATGATAGATGTGGCCAAAGAATTTGGTGTTCCCTCTTATCTTTTCTTTACATCAGGTGCAGCTTTTCTAGGACTTGAGTTTTATATTCAGGCTCTTCATGATGAGCAGAAAGTTGACCCTACTGAGTTCAAGGACTCTGATGCTGAGTTGGTCATGCCGTGGTTGACGAATCCACTTCCTGCTAAGCTCTTGCCTTCTTTTCTACTTCACAAAGAGTGGATGCCTGTTTTCCTTGGTCAAACCAGAAGGTTCAGGGAAACTAAGGGTATTATTGTAAATACATTTGAAGAGTTGGAATCCCATGCAGTAAGTTCCTTTTTCAAAGGTAATACTCCTCCTGTGTATCCTGTGGGTCCCATCTTGAATCTTAATAGAGATGGAGATCACAATCCAAGGTCAGATAGAAGCAACAAATACAAAGACATCATACAATGGCTCGATGATCAACCTCAATCCTCGGTAGTGTATCTATGTTTTGGGAGCGCGGGAAGTTTCGATATGGACCAGGTAAAAGAAATTGCATGTGCGCTAGAGCAAAGTGGCCATCGATTCTTATGGTCTCTACGTCAACCACCACCGCGAGATAAGATGGAACCTCCAACTGATTATGTGAATTTTCAAGAAGTCTTACCTGAAGGATTTTTGGATCGAACGATCGAGATTGGAAAAGTAATTGGATGGGCTCCACAAGTAGATGTCTTGGCGCATCCATCGGTGGGAGGGTTTGTATCGCATTGTGGATGGAACTCTATATTGGAAAGCATATGGTTTGGTGTTCCAGTGGCCGCATGGCCATTACATGGAGATGAACAATTTAATGCTTTCCAAATAATTATTGAGTTAGAATTAGGAGTTGAAATTAAAATGGATTATAGAAAAGAACTTTTTTTTTAGATTCTAATGAAAAGATTCTTACTAGTCAAGAAATAGAGAGAGGAATAAGGTGTTTAATGGAGCTTGATCACGAGAAAAGAAACAAGTTAAAGAAAATGAGCGAAAAGAGCAAGAAGGCTTTGATGAATGGTGGATCCTCGCACACTTGGTTAGCTCGTTTGATTCAAGATATGATGGACAACATGTCGTGAGTAAAATAAACTTTCTTTGTTGCTTCGTTTAATAAAAATGGGCTTTCTTAGATTTGGTTGTATTTCTTGAATTAGTATGTATATCATAAATTAGTTCTCTAATTTTTCAAAACGAATTAAATTGTCTCTTTAGTTTCAAGAACTTATTAATTAGTTCCTATGTTTATATATTTATTAGTAACTTAAATCCTTTTTTTCAATTTATTTTGATTTTTTGCCTTAGGAATAGAAAATGAAAAAATAAGTAAATATTTAAAAATTGATGAAAAAAAAGATATTTTTTTGAAACAAAATAATATTAAATTAATTATGATCAATGCTAGTTAATAAATTAATTAATTAGTTCATCAAACGAAGAGACTATTCAATTTAATTTTGAAAGTTAAAGGGACTAATTTATAATTTACTATTCATATAAATACTAAGCTCAAAATTATTTATAGATCATTGGAGTTTTATCGATTTTGTTTTAAATTAATTTTTTTTATTAATTTTATTTTAAAGTTATTTTTATTTTTAATTAAGATTTTTTTTCATCAGATTTAATGTTTGCAAGATCTAGTAATGCAAACACTAAATTAAAAAAAAAAAAACTAATGTTGTTGTTAATGATTTTTAAGGCAAAAGCTAATAATAATATAAAAATAGATTCTACTATGGGAGAGAAAGAAAAGGGGGTTAGGGTTTGAGTCTTTGCTTAATTAATAAATGAGTTCGTCCTCTTATTATTCATCATTCCTATCTTATAAGAGATCACTATAGAGGATATAAATAATCTTTATAGAATCCGATTAAAAAAATAATAATAATCCTAGAGCTCAAAATTAAGTTAATCAAAAAGAGACGAATATATTATTGACTATGATAGCGAAGTCATAAATCTCATTAATTAATAAAACAACATTAATCCGAAATCAAGGCTCCTTTATAGACACAAATACTACATGTCGGGACGAGTAGACCCATTAGTCACAAGAATTCCAAGCACCGATGGAAGTGTAAGCAAGGCATGGACGGAAGACCCATTAGTGAACAAGACTTCCAAGCACCGGTAGAAGTACAAACATGGAGGACATTCGAGTATAAGCGAATTATCGGCAACAGTAAGATTGTCATGGGTTGATCGGTTGCTCAATCTCCTACTTTATATCAAACACTTTATAGTATATCTTTTACAACTATAGACATTCTCTCTCTCTCTCTCTCTCTCTATATATATATATATATATATATATATATATATATATAAGTACACCGACTCACATCAATAACACATACAAGTGTTTTCAATATTGTACTTGGTATCAAAGCCTATCATTTTCTTTTTCGGTAATTGTCTTCTTCTTCGCTATGGTCGGCCAACTTATTGCTTTCTTTAATACCATTACCTTCACCACACCCATCTCCCATCACACTTTTGCCATAAAACTTACAACTCAAAATTTTCTTACCTAGAAAACCTAGTTCTTACCCCTACTAAACTACCACAAACTCACCAGCTTCATTAATGGCATAACTTCCCTAGCACCATCCACCATTCCATCCGTTACCACTCCCTCCACATCGGCTCTTAACCACAACTTTGAATCATGGTTTCAAAAAGACCACTGCTATCTTGTCTTGGTCGCTCGCTTCCCTATCCGAGGAAGTCTTTCCATGTGTCATTGGTTTATCCTCTTCTTACTCCGTTTGGAAGGCACGAAAAAGTGTGTTTGATTCTATATTTCAAAACTCGTCAATTACGACTCAACATAGAATTATAAGAACTCAAGAAAAATAATTTATCCATCACTCGAATACCTTTAAAAAGCCAAAAGCCTTACTAATGAGTTTTCCTTTCTTGGTTGGTCCATCTCTCGCTACGGAGTTTAATGCGATTATCTATCGCAACATTGGGAGTGAATGCCACCCAATCATTATTGCCTTGAATTTGCGCCTCGCTCCTCGTCTCCTTTCCCGAGCTCCATGGTCATCTCATTGCGCATGAAATTTTAACCAAAAGCATGTATGCCTATCCCATTGCTAGTGTCGCATTAAAACATCCACCACCATATTCCCCACGTCCATTTTTCTTTTTTCCCTCCACTAGCCAAACTTATCGGTCTTTACAATTTCATCCACCAAGTTAGTATAGGCGAAATCGTGGTCTTCGCTGCATTTATTGTTTCGTAAACCACACTATTGATAAGTGTAGGCATCGTTATATGTTACGTCAAAATTCCTTTGCTCTCCCACGAGTTAATGGTTCTTGGCATGCTTCGTTTATGTCACTTTCCAGCATGCCTCTTACTTATTCACCTCTTCCTTCTTCTCCATTAGTGGGCTAGTATCCCGATACGGGTTCTACACATCATATGACTCCCGACTACTCCGCTCTCTTTAATGTCATCACTTATAAGGGTACGGATCGGATTACTCGTTGGTAATGGCCAAGGTTTGCCTATTTCTCATGTTGGTATTAATTCTCTCCCTTCTTTTTCCCACATAAGAATTTAAAACTTCCAACTCGTTTCTCATGTTCCTACTCTCACTAAATCACTTCTATATGTTCAAAGTTCACCATTGATAATAATTGTTTCTTTGAATTTTGGCCCTCTCATTTTTTGGTGAAGGATCGGGTGAGCAAGGCAATCTTGTTGCAAGGCGGGAGTGAGAATGGATTATACCATCTTCCGTCTCCATACAAGTAGGCTATCATCGGCCAAAGTGTTCCTTTTGCAATCGGGCACTCGTATTTTGGTCATCCTCAACCTTGTACTATCTCCAAAATCATAACAATTTGCATTGTTCCAATAAATCTATATCTCGTTCTTAACTATTTTGCATATCACTCGGGAAAGTTAGCTCGTTTGCCTTTAACATCTATTGAACACACCAATAGCGAGACCTTTAGATATCATTCATTCGGATGTTTGGGAGTACGCACTTCGTGATTTCTAATTTAGGATATCGTTATTTTCTATTATTTGTGTATGATCTTACACAATTCACTTGGTTATATTTTCTTAAAAAAAGTGATGTTTATTCCACGTTCCTTGAATTCCAATCTTATGTCGATCGAAAATTTAATGAAACTATCAAATCCTTTCATTCGGACTAGGGAGGAGAGTATCCGTTAGCACCTAATTTTTGCTCTTATTTATTTATTTATTAGTTATTTATTTATTATTATGAAAATACCAAAGGATATAAAAGAAAGAAAAAAAATAGGATAGTTAGCTTAAAAAAAAGGGGTTTAATTGAAAAAATAAAAAGTTGAAAACAATTAAAGGAAAAATTGAGGGCATAATTGAAAAAAATCAAACTTCAAACTCTTTAATTAAAATGAAAAGGGATACAATTGGAACCAATTAAATAAAAATCCCAATTATTGGCAAAAGGAGCCTTAAATTAAAACACAAAAAAATAAATTGAACCCAAATAAATACATGGAAGAAAATGAAGGACCAAAGTGGGTTTTTGCCAAAAAACCCTAAACATATAAGATTGCCATGCATTTTTTTTATAGAGACTATTGACGATCACAAAAAAAAACCCAACTACTTTAAATTTTTTCCTCTCGCCTACCAACTCTCTCGCCTCGCCTTCCTCGCTCAACCAATGCCTCCAGCCCTCTCTTGACCTTCGCTCTCCCTCTCACCTACCAGCAATGCCCCATATAGCGGCCCTTCTCACTCGCTAGCAACGCCCCATAGTAGCCCTCTCTTACGCCACAAACTGACCCCCTCATAACGACCTTCTTCCTCATGCGCAAAGCACATCACAAAAAAAGAACTACCCTAGGCTCAAAACTCATCCCAAATAACCCTCATTCCAACCCCAAAATCAGCCCAAAACAAACCTGAAAAATCTACCAAAACACACCCGAATAGCCCTCATACATGACCCTAAAGAAAACACTACAGAGCAACCTCTTTTGGCCAGCCTTTCCCTCACCCAAACAGCCACTAAAACACCCCCAAGAAAGCTTTAAGATACCCCTAAAACACCTTCAAAAGTAGTCCGAAAATCAGCTCCAAAACAGACCCAAAAATCCACCAAAACCTCCCAAATCAGCTCGAAACTCGTTACCAATAGCCCCTAAAAAACCCTACAGAGTAACCCCTTCGGATGACCCTTTTGAACCACCAAAATATCCCTAAAAACAACCCTAAACCATCTTTAAAAAATCCCTAAAAAACCCACCAAAACAGACACAAAACCCTCCTCAAACAACCCATTGAACACTTTTTGTGTTACTTAAAAAGGAAGAAAAAAACTTCAAAAAAAAGAAAGAATAAAAAAAGATCTTGTGTTGTGGTTTTGTTGCTTGCTTTTGTTTAATTTGTTTTGATATGAAACATATTTCGGAGGAGATTTTAGTCGTTCTAGTAAGATCCGCACCGCATGTTATCTTCAAATAGTCACTCTTCTTTTTCGGTTAATCCAATATTCGATTATCATCGAGAACGAAGAGACTAAGAATAACTCTAAGCTAGACATCGAATCATAGAATCTTTGGGTAAAATTCTCAAACTAATGTACTTTAAAACATGATATGCGTTTGGTTTGCAATAGGTGATTGATTGATTATGGTGGCAATATGGTTTTAAAGTCGTCGATGGTGTTTGAATTATTTTGTATGCTTTTGTATCCGTTTTTTATCTTTATTTTCACTTTATTTTATTTTTATTTTATTTTATTTTTGTTCTCCCTGTTTTGTTGTTGGTATCTTTTTTTCGTTTCTTGCCTTTTTGTTCCCGATTGCATTATGTTTGAAAATAAGTCGCCGGTAGCTTCCCACTTAGGTGACGAAGCCACTCGGAGGGCTTCAAAATATTTTTGTTTATTTGTTTACATATAAGTCACCGGTAGCTTTCCACTAATTTGACGAAGTCATTGGAAGGCTTTTAAATATTTTATTTATTTGTTTATATGTATGAAAATAAGTCACTGGTAATTTCTCACTTATGTGACCAAGCCGTCGCCGACTTTTCAAAACAGTCTTTTTCTCTTTGCTTAAGCGACATGAGGTCTGTCGGTGAATTTTCACCTTTGTGTAGAAGTTGTCGGTAACTTCTTATATCCATGACTCGAAGTCGACGACGACTTCCCACTTGGGTGAGTGAAGTTGTCGGTGACTTATAGCTCATGCTAGTAAATGGCTATTTACCTTTAGAAACTCACCTATTTTTTGATAATAGATCACATTCGCTAATGATTAGCCAATATTTCAATTTTTCTACCTTTTTCCCATTTGGGTAGGGCGTATTGGCCTTGGATCGGCCTAGACGCCCAAACTACCCTATTTCACACTTGAACCATCTCGTCCCATAATTTTATCAAATAAATTCACATGAATAGGCATAAAAGCATAATGGAATAAAAATCAAATTTTTTATATTCATAGACAAACAATGCAGCCTACCTTAGGTAGGACGAGACGATGGTGACGTCATGTCCTCCCCATATGAAACCGACCTCTTATTCGGATATCCATTTAGACTCCCAATTAGCTAGGTGGCGACTCCCTTAGCTCGGCTCTTTCACCACCTGCTTTGGGCTGATGTCGATAGTATCAAAAACTAAATTCTTATTTTAAATAAGGTGGTATTGTTCATCAAATTGCATGTCCTTATACTCATGAACAAAATGGTGTCTTTGAAAGCAAGATTAGGCATATTTTTGACACTAGCCTAACCACCTTCGCACACACTAAAATTCCTTTCAAATTTTGGCCTTATGCTTTTTAAACAAGCGTTCAATTAATCAACTTATTGCCCACTCCCTTTCTCAAGAATAGAACATCATACAAATTACTACATATTCGACCACCTAAATATACAAAACTAAAAACATTTGGTTATGCTATCTATCATCTTCTATGTTTATATAACCAAAATAAATTTTCCTTTCGTACTAAGGTTTGTGTTTATCTAGGACAATCACCCTATCACCATGGTCACTTATGTCTAGACCTTGAAATTGATAGAGTTTATATAGCTAAACATGTCAAATTTGATGAGCCTTCATTCCCGTACCAAACCAAGTTGACTAAAATAAGAGTTCTACTTTG